CGGCACGTTTACATGGAAAGATTGAATCTGAATCTGATTAGGATTGAGGATTGGAAACCTTACACGCTAAATCCTAAAGCTTAATACGAAGTTGGGAAGCCCAGTTTGGGCCTTGGGACCCTAGTCCATTTCCCTCTTTACCTGGATCAACACAGAAGGGCCTGGGCGCTTTAGGATTTAGGGCTTTCGGTTATAGTCCCCCTTAAGTCTAGGGTTAAGAGTTTTTGGCTTAGGGTTTAGGGTATAGTCCCCCTTGGGCAGATAGAATAGGGAACTGCCCAATATCATAACAACATTCCCGTAGACCCCCACACTCCTATCTAATAGTTAAGGGGGACTCTAAGATACGTCATGTGGAGAACCCACCCAAATAGCGTGGTGTTGTAGCATTGGGGGGTCGATAATTAAATCATTACCAACATTATGGTTCCATATTCCGTGTATAATTCTAGTATAGGGTACCTCAAAGGGACCTCAACATGATATTGGTAATTATTTAGGCCCCCATCGTATGAAGCCCCCAGTATAATAGATGAGATCCCCATACACACCAAACTTCATTCACTTCATGGTACTATAATTGAAAATTCCTAAGCAGCCAGGAATGCCATTGGAATGCCATTGGACAATACAGCCGCTTCATGCATTGGGGAACGTCAAGCACCCACCGCTACGACATTGGTCGACATGTCTACATTGACGACAGGCAAAACAAGACCTCAGGGGTTGACTACATTGACAGCCACCGGACTGCCATGGAAGTTTTTGCCTATCTAGCTTACTTATGGTCGTGGAATCCAGAAGCACAAGCCTTCATGCCCTCAGTTATGTACTATTGTAGCCTCTGTAGTCTCCAGCGCAGGTGGAGAAGCCCTAGACCCTAAACCTTGAGAATTGTTGAAGAATTCAGGTGGAGATGCCTATATTGCAAAGTGGTACGTGACCCCATGGCCAGAGCAAATTGCCAGAAAGGTCGAGGTGGGCAGAACTATTCCGGAACGCGACAAGCAAGCAAACCTCGGATATCAACACATTAGGGCATTTGAACAAGGTGCCAAGGAGGTCATTCGAATCCATGATGATCTCATGAGACATGCGCAAGTTGACCTTTGTGACGACAAGAGAACCCAGGACGCGTCTATAGCCAAGGTTCGACGTACATTCTTTGCAGAGGTTGGGGGAGGCTGCTTCCAAAGTGAGGCTGGCCAATACGTTGCTTGAGGCAAAATGCGCAGTTGTTCATCGTTAGGGTCCGAGCTTTTTCAGCTTTTCATATGGAAATTTGCTCTCAATTTAACAGAAAACCTCGAACCTGAACCCAAGACCCTTCACCCCCACCTACACAAGGCAAGGCTAAGGTTGCAGCGTACAGTACAGCGACATGCAGCAGATCTGCTTCAGGAGCAGAGTTAGGTCAGGATTCTGGGTCTTATCGGCAAACACCTGCATGTTGGGAACAACAAAATACAAGAATTTTAGTCGTTACAGATCTATATTGGGATCCTCCTATTTACGGAAACTATCATACCATTATCGGACGAAGGGGATTCCAACGGCTGATGTATAATATCAAAACAGGCTACCGTTCATGGACCCTCGGGGCGCATTCAGGAATTATCAGGGAATTCTCGGGATCCTGTTTCAGAAACTTCCATATCATAACGCCTTCCATTCTGTGAATGTGGCCGCTTTGGTCAGTTTCTGTCATCTAGCTACATGGTGGTGTCTTGATTGACCTGAGAACATGACCAGGACTCACTTTACTGATGCTTGAGATGTTGCGAGTCTTGTAGATGCTCTGATGGATATCTGGAGTACGTATTTGAGTCATTCGACAGATGATTTCATCATTCTTGGGCATTCATGCTTGTGAAACCCTCAATCAGCATAGTCAAGCCTTGTGACAAAGGAGTCCACCCAGAATCTGAACTCTTTTTGTCATCCCGCAAAACCCAAGCCTTGAGCAGTTCAAGCTATTGAGCTCTTTGGTAGACGTTTCCCTCAACCGCTACACAGAGAAGGTATTCAAGGCAGTGGAAAACTTTTAGATGTGCAACGAGCAACTGGCTTCATGGTCCACTATAAATACATGGTAGTTTCCATGTTATTTTCCATTATCCCTATATAACCCGGACATATTCATTATAATCCCTATATAACCCATTATACTGCATGTTCCTGTTGGCGCTGAGAGCCGGAGTTTCCCATGAAGCAAGGGTGGACATGTTGCGGAGTATCTGCTACACATTTCACATGTTTCAAATAAGCCAATATACCACCTTGTAAACGCAAGGCTGTTGATCATTGCCTGGCAAAATGTTTGACTTCTACATTCCAAACGTCCGTGGAGTCCAGTGCCATGTTCACGGTATCTGAGGTGCCAGGTTGCGAAGAGATATCTTGCTCCAATCCTTCCTTATGTCATCCAGAGCTCCCCAAACCCAAACCTCCTGACATCCTGTGAAGCTTAAACAGGAACTCCTCCAGAACCAGCTTGTGTCTTAAATGCCCCATGTTGACATGTGTGCGGAGCATGCCAGGTTTGAGCGCTCATGGGTTATAGTCCCCCTTCAGTAGATAGAATATGGGGCATGTGGGATCTTGTTATAGTATACCCAACGGGAAACTAACTTATCCCCTATGGACAGGTTATGGTTGGAATACATGGTCCAATGGAGCGAAGACTATTACTATTATTGCTACTGTTAAGATTGTCTTACTGTTAGTACCATCAGTATTTTTGTGCTTCTTGTTGCTAGTATTTCTGCTATAATTACTATGTTACATTTCTTCTTATTATTCGTAATATTCGACTTATTCCCGTTATTCTTACTATTGTTGCTATTGTTATTTTTTACGACTAGTATCATTTGCATTATTTCTTTGAGGGTTTTGGGTTGGGTTTGGCCATGATTGTGGTAGCAGCTATACATGTTCTAGCATGCATCGTGAAATGCGAAATGTGCTTCGGCCTGATTGCGAAGGGACGTTGCTATCTTTGCCTGTGTGCTGTGCGAGGTGGCCAAACCCAACAATTCAATTCCGCATGTCATCTTGATGTGGGCTTTGGGCTCATGAATATGGTACTTTCCCAAAACAGGGGGAGCCAATATAGACCCCAAAATACTACAGTCCTTGCTTTGGGGACCCCAAAAAAGTACTTCTAATTTTGGGAAGCCCTCATACGGCAAGCACGTGGATGTTCTGGCCAGGGTTTGCTGGCAGTTTCACCTGTCCTTGGTTGCAGTGACCTAGTGAAGAGATTCAGGAGTGCCATGAGTTGTGGTCTTGGACTGAAGTTCAGAACTCTCTGCTTGTGCTCGGGTTTGGCTCAAGAATATGAGATGTGACATGGGTGTTTCCAAGAAATCATGGCACGATCTCCAAGGACCCCCATAGTCCAATTTGAATCCCATCGCACTTTGGGATGCTCCCAAATCTCCACTGTAGGCTCCAGTGTGCAGTTTTCTTTGCACTTGCACCTTGCAGATGCAAGGCAAAACAAATGATTGCAGCAATAGAACTTCCAGAAAGTTTGAAGACTGGGACGTTAAAGCAATGTCGGAACGGCCGCATACCTTGGGTCAGCTTGCTGCTGAAGTGTCAGAGGATGAGCCGCTGGCAGGGCGAGGGCGCAGGACAGTGACTTTCCAATGGTAATCGCTCCGCCTTAATAATGAATGACGTCCCTGCCGAACACAAACCGCCCAGCGATTTTTTTTTCATTTTTGATCTCTTGCGGCCGCACGGTATCTTCCAAAACCAGCAACTCTGTTTAAGATCAAGTAGGTATATTGTATCCCAACCCACAAATACAATTCCTAAATCAGAATGAGACCGTGACCACAACATTTCGGTACTTTTCGGCTGCAGACATGGCAAAGGTACGCTTCAATGTTGCTGCAATGCGATCGATTAATCAGCATTTGAGTGCTCGCAAGCACTGCTTCGCAAAGCATCTTCCATACTAGCGAGGAGCCTTTCCTATCCGCAACGAAGATACAGCGGAATCCTAATCGACTTGAGAGAAATGAAAGCTCGAGTTCGTTGCTGATGTTTGTTTGGATCCCCATGCGAGTTGGAGCTTAAATTTTACCTTCCCTTGCATGATCTTGGCATGTAGTGGGAACATATCAAGTATACGGCGAATTGACAGTGGCTTGCTCTCTATAAGAGAATCCGCTCAGCTGAAACAAGTCAAATCTGTTTTGCTTTACCATAATTTACCATAAGCAGGTGCGGTGAATAAATACATTTTGCCTTAGTTGATGCTTCAAGAAGCAGGGCTGTTCTGCAGTATCCATTTTCCCATGTGAGAACATGTTGGAACTCCTTAAAGGATTGCTGCCGGCAGACTGTGTAAAAACGTTGGGGTGCCAGAGACTTTTTCGTATCGCATCGTTCAGGCAATTCGAACTACAGAGTTACGCGTCATTTCTATCAAAGAGAGCATGTAAAGTCCGAAAGAAAATGCAGCGTCATGTCCAGGATTTCCTTCAAGTAGATTTAAGGTAAACACTTCAACAGCTTTACAGTATCTAAGTAACAGAACAGTGTTTAATAATTCAGAAATTTCATGACGGAAATTCAAGGCTAATTATGTCATTTTTGGAAAGTGTTTTAATGATTAGAGCCCGGAAGAAAAACCTGAATTGAAAACCGTACTGGCCAGACAAGAACCAAAACGCTATGGTCATGATCACGCTTTTAACCTCTTATTCGCTGACCCCTAATGGTGTCCTCTGTCAAAGGTAATTTTGCCCTTTCTACAAGTTGTCTTCTAGGATTTCAGGCAAGGAAGGAGTTGCAGGGTTTCTCGTAAAGGCGTACACAGGGATTGCGAAGGTAGCCATTTTGTCCCCTCTCTGCAAACCACGAGTAAGGTGAAGGAAGTGCGGGCTGTAGTGCCCGCTGACAACTCCTGCTTTGATTCCTCTCGATGTCGATGGTTCGTCACCACAATCATCGTGATTGTGTTTGTGGGCTGCCTGGAGGTCTATATGCGAGGTTGCGTTTTTGATACGCCCCACTCCCAAGTTCCTAGATCTCCCGGCCTGCCGCAGTACTCCACTGGCCCTCAGCGAAGTAGCTCCACATCTTCCAGACCCCTTGCAGCGGAGCTTCCCAAACCGCCGCCTTGGAAGTTACGTGGCACGGACCCTTGCGTGCCCGTGCTCGGACAAGAGGTAGTTGTGGGCTCGCGGGAAGCCTTTCATTACGTGCCCAGTGCTTTGGAGACAGCATGGACCGAGCAATCGCGTGTCGGACAGATCTGCGAGTTGGCCAAGAAGCAGACGACAGACGCAGGTCTCTGGCTGAACTACTCCCAGGCTGTTTTTCAGCCAACGCCTGGCGTACCCTCCCGCGATCCAGGCCCTGAGGAAGCCAAGGTGCTCTCCTACTTCCTGATGGGTGAAGACAAGAAGCCTCATTGGATAGAGCCACTGTCTGGCATTGCACGCAATCCACACTCTATTTGTATGAAGTCTGCTGACCTTTTCGACATCCGGTACTTGATACTGGAGAGCTTCTGTGGGAGGCCGGGGCCAAAGCCCATCGTCAGGTTTTTCGACTTGGGCTGCACAAGCAATGCCGGCACGCGTGACTTTCTGAACGTCAACTACCAGCAGGGGTCCGGGGCTGGGCCTTCCATCCCCTTGTTCTTCAACATGTACAAAGACCGCTGCCTTGAATTCGATCATATCTATGGCTGGGAGGCAAAATCTCAGAGCGTTTCCGCATGGTGGGAACCCCTACCTGATCATATACGCGAGCGGGTCCGGTACTACAATGTCCCCGTGAATGAGAACTCCTGTGAAGAGACTCTGGGCAAAGACAAGTATGCCAGCAAGGGGAGCTTCCTCCGCATGCTTCCGCATGCTGCGAAAGTTGAGGATTTCGTGGTGCTGAAGGTTGACATTGATGGTGGTCCAGAGCTGCAGATAGTGGAATCCATCGCACGGCACCCCGAGCTTAGCGCACTCGTGGACGAAATCTTCTTCGAGTACCATTTTTACTTTGATGGCATCGGATTTGGGTGGCCTCCTGTCACAAAGGATTCAAGGTCCAGAGCAGTACTTGTTTCCTTATTCAGACAGGCCCTAAACCCTAAACCCAACATGACAAAAGCACTTAACATTAAACACCATACCCTAAGCCGTAAACCCAGTTACTGGACCTCAGGAGCGAAATGTGGACACGGCACTGGATTTGATGAAGAGGCTCCGGTTGGCAGGAATCAGGTCACACTTCTGGATTTGAGCAGGCGGGAGCGGCGGGAGCGGCGGGAGGGTTTGCGATTTAGGTGTCATGGGAAAATGCCTCTGGTAAGCTTAGGGATCCTTATCCAGGATCTGGTGGGTTGTCCAAATTAGGGTCTGTTATGGCTTCCTGCTATCATGGGGCCCCGAAATATTTTGGGTACCCACAATTTTGACAACCTACCATCACAACCGTCATAAGCTCCTATATAACTCCCGTTTCCATTTCATTTTTGACTTGCTTTTCCATTAGATTCTCCATTATGATAACCGAGCCCGAGATCCCAAACCCTGCATAACCCTCAAACCCTTATAGAAACCATGACCCTTTTTATCTGTACTCTCCTTGGGATTTTTCATTTTTCTAGTAGAACACGAAGGAATCTTGGAAACACTTTTTTAATGTCGGTCTAGGGGGATTGCAGCTCCCTAAGCCCCAAACCCTAAACAGTTCTGTGGTGCTTGTTCCAGAAGCTGGCAAGTCTTTAGGTGCAGACTCGGCAGACTCGTATTGGGGAGGAAAGTGCACGAAAGAAGCCAGGGTTAGGGCTTAGGGATTTAGGGTTTGGGGTTCAGGGTTCAGGGTTCAGGGTTCGAGTTTGGGGTTGGCTTGACGCCCAACACTTTAAACCCTAAACTCCTGAATGCCCAAGCCGCCCAAGCCGCCAATCCCTACATACGTAAAGCCCCGAATTCAAAACCTTTAGACTCTGTGCAAGTTTTCAGGGGGTGCTTCGGAATCAGGCTAATATAAACCTTGAAACTGAGGATCACCGGGTTAAGGGGTTTATGGTTTGGTTTAGGGCACCATCCGAACTGCTCCAGCTTCCACATGCCAGATCTTACCATGATTAGCACCCAGTACGGAAGCTAAAGGGACACTAGAAAGATGCTGTCTTTTGAAATGGAGGCAGTATGAGGCCTAAACCCTCAACCCCCAGCTGTATCATCGGCGGTTCAAATAGGAAGGCCTATTTTTTTGTACTTTTTTCCCCCACATATATTGTGGGGTTCTAGTTATTCGATGTGCCGTCGCCCGGCGTCCCTACGGTGCTTCTTCCGTCGCGAAACATTTCGGACACACTCCTTGTCGATCAAAAATCGCGTTTTCGCTCGAGACATCCTCAGAAAAGCGTCGTTTTTTGACATCCGAAAAACAAGATCAATCTTTTGGGTTAGTCTTCTAGACCTATCAGGAACCGAACCGGACGTGCCCTATGTCGGTCAAAAATCGCCGAACCAGACGTGCCTTATGTGGGTCAAAAATCGTGTTTTTGCTCGAGATATCCTGTAAAAATCGTTTCCTTTCCACATCCGAAGAAAAATAGGTCGATCTCCCTTGGAATTAGTTCTGGAGTGATCGGCATCCTCAAAAGTAGATGACAATTGTGCTCCCGTGCGGGGCATCCTCAAACATTTCATCGTTTTTTCGTTCAAAATCGCGCTCCCGCGCGGAGCATCCTCAAAATTTCATCATTTTTTCGTTCAAAATCGCGCTCCCGCGCGGAGCATCCTCAAAATTTCATCGTTTTTTCGTTCAAAATCGCGCTCCTGTGCGAAGCATTCTGAAAATTTTGATGGACATTGCGCTCGCGTATGGAGCATCCTCAATTTTTTGTCGATTTTTCGCTCAAAACTGCGCTCCCGTGCGGAGCATCTTCCAAATTCGGTAATCAAGGCCAATCATATAAGGGTATTATATGTATTGGGGGTCATACGCTCCCAAACCATTCAAGAAGCTAAATTGTCGCCTCGACTCCCTTCACACTCCTCTTCCATACCTCCCCGTGAACATCTCGGGTTCCGGCCTCTGCTCCCTTCTCCCGCGAACATCTCGGCCTTTGTCTGAAGGGAAGCTGTTCCGGTAGCCCTGTAGATTTGCTTCTGGCTCAAGGAGAGATGTGAGTCACGGCGGAAGGCTGATGATCTAACATCATCGAAATTTGTTGTGTAAAGTTTTCGGATCCGGTGGTCGAGCGCTAGGTTCAACCAGTTGACCGGCCTAGTTTTTTGAGTGTCCCTGTCCCGGACTCTGCCAGACGGGGCCAATGTGCCACACGCAGCCTCCTATGGACACACAGTCCCAATCTCAGTCTTGACAGCATACTGCAACATGCCACACGGTGTCCAGTAGGATAGGGGACAGGACGACGCGCCTTCGGCGGTCATAACCCTGAACCTTGTGCATGAGCGTTGCTCGCAGTCCTTCGGTCAAATATGCCCGCTGCTGAATCCTAATTGGCGCCCGGTCTGACCGCGCGCGACCCGAGATGGCGAGGTGCGGCAGACCGCCGGCATGATCTGGCCCCGCCTGGAATCCTCGGCCTATATGTATCTGTGAGCATGTAAACGCATTGCCTCAGCAGACCCAAAACATTTGCACAGTGCGAACCACATTTACCCGGAGAATGTAATTCTACATATATATATGTATCTACGTACAGTTACACTTTTCTTTCATCCAGTTCACTCTATCCGCGCCACATGCTCTCCGCTTGGTCCCCAGTTATCGTCTCGTCTTCTTGTTCTTCTTATGTCGGTGGGCGACGGCATCCTAACATCATCTAATTTAGATTCAGGTCAAACTAATTACACATGTGGGGTTCTCCGGCCCATTATTAGTTTGCATAATTTTCCAGAATTTCAACATCAGGTTTCATACTTGTTTATCCTTTCATCATATTTCATCATTTCCAACTGCTCATCATGTCTGATCACTTCATCACGTTCTTCATTTTCGTCATGCCTCATCATCTGTTATAATTTTTCATCACTTTCTATCATCTTTCATTTTTCATCAATTTCATCCGTTTTCATTATTTTGCATTATTCATCATGATGATTCGTCAATTTTCTATTATTTTCATGATCGTTCATTATTTTCATCATTTCCATCATTTTTTTCATTTTTCATTATTTTTCTATAATTTTCATGATCTGTCATGATTTTCTATAATTTCCTAATGTTGCTTCATAATTTCTATCATATTCAGAATTTTCCGTGATTTTTCATGTCTTCACAGCTTTGCTTCAAAATCACGTTTTCGTGTAAGGCTACCTTTGATTCCAGGCCCCCAGCCCAAACAAAAAAGTAATTAAAAAAAAAAAAAGGAAAAAACACCCGCTCAAATAAGGAGCATATGAGGGCTTGTGTTTCACGTACCCCCCCGTGCACCAAAGACTGCGAGGTTCAGTGGGACCCAGAGGTGTAGAAGCTTGAATCATTACCAATAATATGGTCGTAGATTCTGCGTATAATAATCGTATGGGGTATTTCAAATAAACCTCAAAACTGATACTGGCAACTAAGTGGCCCTCTCAACAGTTTAGTACTTGCGTTTGGGATCAAGGCTTTAGAGATGGGATTTCGGTACTACTCATGTTCACAAGTTTTTGGGCCAGGAAAGTTATTGTGAATTTGAACGTTTGGGAGAGCAACACTAGGGCCATAGACTTGCACGCGTAAGGCAACTATATCCTAATTACATGACTCCCCCACACCCACAACCTTAAAACCTAAACTTGGGTACTGCCCCCACCCAGCAACACTTGGATATCAATTATGGGAAAAAAAACAAGCGATTGACGATCTTTCCCCATTGTACTTGCTTGGAGTTTCAAGGTGTTTCAGGGGTTAAGGTTTAGCTTGCGGTCTTATATCTTCATGGGATCTGGTATTAACATTGAAAATCATATTAGGGGACGTGGAACTTTGATGAAAATAGATTTGGGGTATATATTACCCTGAACATCCAAGTGGGCCCCCAAGACCCCAGGCCTTATTCGCGCTGGAATCCTGAGGCCCAAAGCCTTGTGCTAACCCACAAAAGCGGGATGCCAGAACCACGCTGGGCCAAGCTTCCGCTGATTAAACAAGAAAATGAGCTCCCCCAAACCCTAAACCCGACCCTTAATCTGAAATTTCATTCCAGAGGTTTGGTCGGAGGATTGATGTCATTGCACTATTGGACGCACTATGTTCTCGAACGTGGTTGTTAAGGGATGGTTGAATAGTTATTTGGGGGGAAATAGGGTATGCCTGAAACGTAAACTCCATGTGGAGCTTAGGGTTTCATGGAGGTTATTAAGGAGTAGCTAGGGTGGTAGGACGACCCCCTGCTTGCCCCATGTTGAAACACAGCATATGCGGTTTCTATGAAATCCCATAGTACCTCTGCAATCCCCGAATATCCTTCGGGTCCTAGAAGAAGGGGTGCGTTTCTGGGATTGTAATAAGCGCAACGGATGATGCTAGTTTATTGGCGTCTACAATGCTGCTTCTAGTGATGGAAATTCCATACTGGAGTTTGCCTGAAGACTGGGACCCCAATACAGACCCCAAAAGATTCCAATTGTGATTGTGAGAACCTAAGCATGGCACCCCTAATTTCAGGAAACCCTCCTATCCGCTCCGAAGATGGACTTCTTCGGACGAAGATCCCGAAACCCCTTAACTCTAAATCCTTAAATCCTAAAGTTTAAACCCTGAACGCTACGCGCTTAAATTCTATATTCTAAACGTCTAACCTTAAACCCTTTAATCCCAAACCCTAAATCCCTAAACCCTGTCCTGCAATGGCTTCCTTCCGATGCGCTGCTATTCTGCTGTCTCTGACTGTTGTGATTCTGGTTACTGTTCAGGACCCCGGGAGCCCAATACAGCTTAATTACGGATTAGGGTTTAGGGTTTGGGGCCAAGGGCTTGTCCTAGTATGATTTGCGGTATTTTTTAATTCAGCTATATTGGGCTCTATGGGAACTTGCATTAAGCTTCACTACTACAGCTACCAGGGAGACCAGTTTTTTGGTGGCCATATTATTGGGAACTTGAATAAAGCTCCTTAACAGCAACCCAGGATTGTCCACTTTGCCTACAAGTGCCTGTCATCTCAGTATCAACCTTCAAGCCCCGGCCGGGTCTCTCAAGGCTGCTATACTGGTTTGAGGTTTAGGGTTTAGGATGTCTAACTTTAGGCGGGTAGTAGGGAAAACCGGAGTGGA